AATTATTTAAAAGAACTGTATTTTTACTATTTATTTTCAATTTAAAAACGCTTCCAAGTTGTATTTTTTATGTTTTAGTTCCCCAGTGCTGCTAAACAGAGATAAACTTTACTGCTCTATAGTTATAACTTAATAAACAGTTATTAGTGGTTTATACAGATAAGGAATTGCATTTGTTTAGTTTATGTCATAGAAAGGTTATTCTATCAAACTTTAAACTCATGTTTGATACGTTTCGCTGCAAATTTTTAACTATACGTGAAGGAATATCAAAGTTCTTCCTGTAAATATGTAAAATAAATCTTTAAAATGACTTTTCCTTCTCATTTTTACATTCATCTTCGCCTTTGCGGCGAATTATATATTTGTCTTTTATCTAATGTTCCAAATATTCCATCGTATATTCAGTTTGTAAATGAATACGATCATCCTGGTAATTGTATCATTAATGGAGGAATAATGACTAATTAAATCTGTGTAGGAGCAGCAGATCAAACAGGGATAGATGAATAAAGCGGCTTCATTAAAAAACAACACAAATATTATGTTTTAATTACCTGGATGGAGGGAAATAAGAGATTCAGACAAAGATAATATCTACTTTATAAAGCTAAGCTAAAGGAGAACATGATTTTTTTATATTGTTGTCATACCTTTGGGTGCGGTGACTGATGGATAGTAAAATGTAGGTCTATAGAAAATAGAAAATAGATAAATAAATAAAGGAGCGAGGATAAATATTCCCACCTATTAAAACATGCCTGCTGCACCTCTGATGTCCACTAGATGTCACCACTGTCTGATTTATTGAATTGAATGTTGACTAGTTTCTTGACATTACATTAAAAAAAGGCCTTTCTTGTTGATTGAAGTCTTTTTTTTTTGTTGTCATTTTCAAAGCTAAACTTACTTACTTACACATTAAATATTGTGGCGATGAGAGAAGCGTGTTTTTATTGTACCAACAGATAAAAAGCAGCGTTCACTGCCGACTGAGTTCATTTAGGGTGGATTGGAAATCATATAAAGGTCTTTCCTTATTTCTAATATTTTCATCACAAATGTGTATTTTTATGTGCAACATAAAGGTAAATAAAGCCTATTTGGAGGCAATATGGCTTAAAATAAGATCAGCAACTTTTTCTTTTATTTTCTCTTTTGTCTCAAACTATAAATGACTATTACTTTAAAACCTTTTTTTCTTAACATTCTTTTTTTGTTTTTCTGAATTCCAATTGAGCTAAACCAAAGAATCGAAACGCAAGGTGAGCTACAACGCTGGTTAACAAATTTTTGGTCCTTTTGATCAAACATGGAGTCTTCAATTCCTCCACAGAAATTAAACGTAATAAAAAAAATATGTTGCATTGTTTAAAGTTATAAAATCACTTAAAAATGGATGAAACCAACACATTTGGTTGTTGATGCTGTTTGTAACAAGATGACGTCCATGTTTGATTGATTTAGTGGAAATGTTTGTATGCTTTGCCAATATTCAGGAAACCTCTGAGTTAGAAAGCTGCCTATCCATCTAAGAACAAAAAAATATAACAACATTTAAACCAGTTAACATACATAAACCGTAACATTTTTCACTGTAAATTTACAATAATTCTATGACTTTGACAGTAATGATTGCAGCAAAATGCTGTCAAATATATTCACAGCAATCTACTGTAATTTAGTATCTATTATGTTATAATACATGACAGGAGAATTGCAGCATTTTGCTATAAATCATTACAATAAGGCCCTCCACCTCCACAGAGGGCAGTCTGAAAATAATTTGCTGTGAATTTACAGGAAAAATAAATTAGTAAAAGTAATGCAAATGAATTAATCCTCCCCCACTTCACCCTTAGGGTCATAGTGGGGTTGGGGAATTTCTCCAGTAGTCACTGAAACATTAGACTAATAATTCCTCAGTTAGAAGTTTATCTCCATCAGTCAAAGGCAGAGCTAAACTAACAGGTTTTAAACCCTGACCTCAAAAATCTCAGGCTTTTGGCTCTTTTCCAGTCTGCTGGGAGTTTAATCCAGATCAGTGGAGCATAGATGCTGCTTCTCCATGTTTGCTTCTTGTTCTGGGTGGACAGAGGAGGCTGGAACTAGAAGACCTGATTGGTCTTGGAGGTAGATCTGCTGACAACAAATCTGTTATTGATTGAGGTGCTGATCTATTCAGTGATATGTAGAATAAAGGTGCGTGAGGGGTCATTGATGATGTCACGGGCTCGGGACATCATGGAGGAAAACCTGTTGGAGTTGGCAGAAGACCAGAGACTAGGACGGAGATTTATCTTCCAACAAGACAGTGATTCAAAACAGAAAGCAGCATCTAGAACGGAACGCTTTACAGAGAAAAACATCCAGGTAGTAGGATGTGCTCTCTTCATCCTCTGACATGGGAGCTGGCTCGGAGCTCGTCTGCCTGGCTGTGTGTTTCCTGGACGGGGCCGCCTGTGGAGCTGCTTGACAGTTGCCTTTTGTATCTATGCTTCTTTTTCTATGTCTGCTTCTGTCTCCTTGAACCCCAGTCGGCCTCAGCAGATGGCCGCTCACACTGAGCCTGGTTCTGCTGGAGGTTTCTTCCTGTTCAAAGGGAGTTTTTCCTCTCCACTGTCGCTGCAAGCATGCTTAGTGGGAGGGATTGCTGAAGAGTCAATGAGTCGATGCAATCAGCTGGTTTTCCTAAATTAGAAAACTTTGAATCAATCTGACCGGATGATCTGGTTGAACTGGAAAGTGACCTGAGATGACATGATGTGAATTGGAACTATAGAAATAAACTGAATAGAATTACATTTCAATTTCAGAATCTGTGGAAAGAACAGCAAACTGCTGTTTTCTCAATAAACCCCAAGAGACCTGCAGCTGTGATCACAGCCAAAAGATGCGCTACAAAGCATTAACTCAAGGGGGCTGAATAATTTTACACACCCTATTTTTCAGTTTTTATTTATTAAAAATCTTTAAAATATCCAATAAATTGCATTTCACTTTTATGACTTCATCTCACTTGTTGTTTATTCTTCACACATAAAAGACACAATTTTATATCTTTATGTTTGAAGGATGAAATGTGGTAAAAGGTTGAAAAGCTTGAGGGGGAATACTTTCTGAATACTTTTGCAAGGTGCTGTAAGATAGATAAGGGGGACAAAACGAATGTGAATTTAATGCTTTATGATTTTATGACTTGATTACTTTATTAATTTATGACTTAATTACTCCCCCCCTCCATCTTTCTGGAACCCTAATCATTCCTTCTGCACCCTCAACACACCCCATTTGTTTCAACAAGCAAGTGAGTGAAAGCTGTTCCTCCTGCTTACAGCGGCTTCTTCATGCGAGAGCGGCCGTTCCCTTCATGTTAAAGTGATGGAGCTGCTGCCTGAGCGTGTGCAGAGGAGAAGGTTCAGTATTTTCCTGTTTCCATCTGCAGCACAGCCAGCCTGATGTACAGCAGCTCCACAAACTTCAGACAAACTGGATCTGCAGCATAAGGAGTTTGAAAGAAAGAAATAATAGAAAAAGATTTTATGTAACTTAACAATAAAGCTCCAATTTCCTTGCAAACATCTTATAAAAAATAAATAAATAAAATAAACATATTTGCAGCAAAAAAATGTAGGGGGCTGATTCACACCCCCCACCCTTTACCTGGGGAAAAAATATATATATAGTCATAATTGTGAGGTTTCAAGCCAATATTATGAGTTTAAGTTACAATTGCAATCTCTAACATCATAATTTCCACTTTCAAAGTTATAATTATTATAAACAAAGTGATAATTCTGAGTTTATATCGTAATCATAATATACCATGTGCCATGTTTTTACTTTCAAGTGGCAGAAATGGCCTTCTATATGGGAACCAAAGAGTTTAGGAAAAACAGCTTTAGTTCAAGGAGGAATTAAACGTTTGGCATAAAAACAATGGAATCCTATTTTATGAATGAATATTACTCAGAGTTTTATCCTGATAAAGAAAAAAGAAAATCACTAAATTTCTTAGACATAATGAGATGTTTTCTGGGAAAATATATTAGAAATTCTTTTAGTAAACAGTCAGGAAATCAGTGGTTATTGTTCCCCTGAGGTCAGGTGGTGGGAAATGGTGAAATTTGCTTTATTTTGTTTTTCTTTTAAACATATTGTTGAAAAAACAGAAAACTTTCAAGATCCACAGAGTGTGAAAACTTGTACTGTAGCGCCCTCGCGCGGCGAGCCGCAGCTTTGCACTCCGCCCCATTCTGCAAATAGTTTAAGTTTCGGTTTCCAATCAGCTGAAATGAAAGCAAACATTTCCTGCTGCCCTTAAAAACAGCAGCTCCACTTTTCACAGCTGCAGTCTGACTTTAGGCAGCGATGGAGGCTGTGATCTTAAAGTACATCTGCGCCAATCAGGGAGCGGTTAACCTTGAAGATCTGGTTAGTAATCTCGGTGAATCCGCGAACGAGGTGGTTTCCAACCCCAGCAGGTTTGCTCTGAGCTCCGGTGCTGACGGGCAGCAGAGAGTGGTGGCCCGGAGCGGCCTGAGGCTGTGCAGGAAGAAGGACTGTCCCGGGGACTGCAGGAGCCTCCACCTGTGCAAAAACTTCCTCTTCAGCGGCACCTGCCACTTCCTGCTCAGGTAAACAGATGGCGGAGGGCCTCTGATTGAAACACACCTGCTGTTTGTCCGGTTAGAAAACTCAAAGGTTGAAATAAAAGCTGAGATTCACAGTGACTGAGTTATTAGTTTGCCTTTTCCTTAAAGGGCGCGGTGCGTTCACGTGCTGTCGATGTCTTTATATCCTCAATTTATGATAAAAGTGCTTATAAATGCATCAATAACATTAAAAGTGTGATTATCACCTCGACAAAAGCAAATGTGAATTTATTTATTTTAAAGCTTTTAAGTTGAGTTACTTTTCTAAAGTTGCCAGTGACGTCATGGCTCAGGTGTTATCCTGATCTGAGTAGGTGGTGAATAACTATATGGCGTGAGTTTTGTTCCTTTATTGTTCCAAGTGCCGAACACTTTTTTTTGGAAACATCCAGAAATGAAACTTTGAT